ATGCGCGCCCTAGTGCACGATATAAATTGCCATTCCCATCGACTTCAATCACTCTTCCAGGCTGAACCCCAACTCTAAGGGCCCCCCACACCCCGACCCGACAGAGCATTTGGGAGGATGTAAATCATGGTAACTCATGAACTCAACTGAACATGAACCACCCGACAGAGTGTGAATGCATTAATTGTGTGGGTAAATGTATTTATACATATTTTTTAAGTTATTATGTGTATTTATATTTTATTATTATAGCTCTCTCTCTCTCTCTCTCTCTCTCTCTCTATATATATATATATATATATATATATATATATATATATATATATATATATATATATATATATATATATATATATATATATATATATATATATATATATATATATATATATATATATATATATATATATATATATATAGACTTGCACTCGGGTGCGAACGGCTCGCCCAGGCGCGAAATAGGAATGAATTTTGTTCGTCCACGTGTCCAGATCTAATGGATGAGAAACACTGATTTTTTAAAAAAACGCAGTGGTATTTTCGTAAATAATTGAACATCGAGGTGCAAGTAAAATGTATTACAAGTGCATGTAAAATGTATTATAGGTGCAAGTAAAAATTTACACTGAGCATCAATACTTAGTTGCACTTATAGTTCTAAGTAGTTGCACCAATAGTTCTAAGTAGTTGCACACATAGGTATAAGTAGTTGCATCTAGGTGTTTGAATGTTTGCGAGTAGTTTTCAGGAGTATTACTACCCGCAAACTCAGATCAATGAATGTTAACAAAGCAAAATTACATGCACTCATAGGTGAAAGTAGGTGCACATATAGTTATAAATAGTTGCACCTATAGTTATAAATAGTTGCACATATAGTTATAAGCACACCCAGGTGCAAGAATGGTTGCGGAAAGTGAATGCTAACAAGGCAAAATTACATTCACAAATAGGTGAAAATAGGTGCACTTATAAGAGATTTTACTTGCACTTCGATGTTCAATTATTTATGAAAATGCCACCGCATTTTTTTTTAAGTTATTAGATCTGGACACGTGTCGCGCACTGATTCGTTCGCATTTCCTTCCTGGGCACTTATTCGCACCTGAGTGCGTCCCTATATATATATATATATATATATATATATATATATATATATATATATATATATATATATATATATATATATATATATATATATATATATATATATATATATATATAGGAAAAAGTTCAAATGCTGCGGGGTCTTCCCGTGCGGCGGTGCGGCGGAATTTCAGAATACACCAACAGTGTTAACAATATGCACCAACAGTGTAAGGAAAACACACCACAATGAAATGCAATAAAACATCAAAAAATACACAACATACCCAAAAAAAATACATCAAATAACTCACCACCCCCAATGGTGTATTTCCGAACACTGTATGTTGTTTTTACTCACACCTAATGGTGTGTTTTTGGTGATGCTTACCTAATTTGTCTCTGTTTTTTGTGGTGTATTTTCCTAACGTTGATGGTGTATATTTGTTGAACTATTGGTGATGCCGCACCGCCGCACCGTAAGACACCGCCGCACCTGAACTCGCCTATATATATATATATATATATTTATATATATATATATATTTATATATATATATATATATATATATATATATATATATATATATATATATATATATATTAAAAATTTAAAACATAATGTAGTATGGAAAAAAGTTGCCAAGCACATTGTGCTCAGATGGCATTTAGTGACCTCTTCCATATAGGAGGTCATGAGATCGAGACTCAGTGGAGGCGTTGTTGACTCTGTGTGACAGTAACATCCAAATATATACAATAGTACATTGTATAGTCATACTTACATTTTTAATCAAACAAATTCTGTTTCCATAACCATTACTTTACATCAAGAACTCAAGTACTTTTATCTGTTTCCATAACCATTACTTTCTTTGCTAATTCAGAATTTGTTAAATTAGTAATAGTTCGTGTATCGCACAGGACAATTACTAGTAATATATATAACTGTACAAATTCTGTTTCCATAACCATTACTTTACATCAAGAACTCAAGTACTTTTATCTGTTTCCATAACCATTACTTTCTTTGCTAATTCAGAATTTATTAAATTAGTAATAGTTCGTGTATCGCACAGGACAATTACTAGTAATATATATAACTGTACAAATAAACATTATAAAAATTTTCATGAATCATACTTTAAAGGGAAAATGGCACTTTTTCCCCCTAAGTTATATACTTATAGCACTTTTTCCCCCTCAATTATTTATGTAAGCACATTAGCCCCCTCAATTATTTTAAAAGTGGTGGTTTTTCCCCCTGATATATTAAATTGACATTTCTACCCTTAAAGTTAATATTTTATTTATTTTACTTCTCCAACAAATTATTGTGTATATGTAGCAATGACCACGGTTCGGTTCGAACTGAACCGGACACTATAGCAATCGAATTAAAAGTTTCCGGTTATGATTCAGATCTAGAATCCAATATTTAGATTTCAATTTATTAAATTTATGAACCAAAAAAACTGGATCATGAACCGTGAACCGGCGGTTTCGGATCCAGTTTGTGATTTTGAACCGTCTTTATTTTAAATTTTATTTTATTTTTTATTTTAAAATAGTCTGAATTCAACAATAAATGTATTTTATTTTTTCAGTTCGGAACATGAACCGACCATTTCGATTTGTGATTTTAATAAACTCTAAATATCGCGTTTTGATTCTAAATTGTAATTGGAATATTTTGGTTTGGTTGCTATAATATCTGTTTGGTTTGAACCAAATTATAGTAATAATTTGTTGGAGAAGAAAAATAAATGAAATATTTATTTTAAATATTTATTTTAAGGGTGAATATGTCCATTTAACATTTTAGGAGGGAAAAGAGTCACTTAAATAATTCAAGGGGAAAAAGTACTATAAGTATATAACTCAGGGAGAAAAAGTGTCATTTTCCCTACTTCAAATTTCCGTGCACGAAAAAATTTACATATGTACGGGTTACGTTGTGCAGTGGTATACTACTACACTGAAATGCAGAGAGCAGTCAATGATTAAATTTTGACAACATACACCTAGTACAAGTCATGGGAATCTAGCTAGGTTTGTGACCCTACTTCATTTACAAAAATAATACTTAGTAGTCTAAAAATCTATTCTCAATTTTTACTCTTACTCAAATTTTATTAGAGGAAAAAAAAAAAGAATGGATAAAATATTGAAAATTTTAGTTAAAATAGTAATTTTGAATGGCTATTTTATAGTACAAAACTACAAATATATGTTGGGTCCACTTCTGATTTGAGTCGGGTCAAAGATGATTCAAGTTCTTCATAGTGAGACGAAGAAATTGATATATTGTACACTTAAAATGGGTAAGTGCTAATTTGGTAGCACTTACGCAGGGTGATAATTAGCACTGTAATTAGCTAATTAAGTTTAGCACTATGGAAGTGCTATTTGTTAGGAGTCTATTATATGATTGTTAGAAATATACAGATCGATACATGTATTATACATGTAATCTAATCTTGATAGCGGAAGCATATGATCGAGCATCTCCAGTCATAGTTGTAATCTCTGTTATATTGCTTGAAGAACGCTAAGGAACTGTGTTTTGTCTACCACTTGATCTCTTGAGAAACTAGATGGTGTAGTTGTAAGGCTGCAACAGGAACAGTGGGAGGACCATGCTTAAATAGCCTACATGCCATCATTATAGGCTAAATAACGGAAACTGTTACTTCCGTTTCAAATCACAACATAATGGCCATAAATGACCTATTAACTTGCACCACTTAATGGTGACATAATGAAAAATGTTAAATACTCCCACTTGGTGCAAGTATTAACTCAAATAAGTAAAAAACTTGAACCATAGAGATAGTTCTATTCCTCTTAATCAGAGTAATAATATCCACTTATGATTACAATGTAACTTCTTCTCTAAGTATCTTCTGTGGTATAAAATTTAATGAATAAACCTTACATTCATTATTGATTATAATTAGTTATCAAAAACTAATTACTACCACAATGACTAAATTTGGCCTAATAAACTAGCACAACTTCATGTGTACAACATTAATGAAAAATGTTACAATTTTTCACTTGGTGCAAGTATTGGCACAACCTTTGTTGAAGATAACAAAATATGAATCATAGTGGTATGTCCTCTAAATTAAAGTGTGAGTAATACCATCTATGCATCATATGCATTTTGATTCTCAACTCAGGTTCTTGGTCCAACCTTAGCGATGTTTCTCAAATAAATATGTGCATAACCATAGGAGAAACCATCCAAATTATATAGAAGTGACAACATAAATGTATGTACAATATAGTCACATAATAAGTTCCATGTACCCTGTATGATTCCTAAAATTCTTATAAGCATGACTTAAGTAGGGATCCAAAACTATTAGCAAAATGCTATATATTGCATGACTAACTCATTATCTTTAATACTATCGATGACAACTAAGTTTTCAAAGTTGACACGTCTGCCACTCCCACCCTCATTAATCTTTAGCCAAAGACAGTAATTGAGTAGTCCATATTCCAACGGCTTAGATAACAAATTTATGAGTCTAAGCCCACAAAATGGAACGTTAAACATACACCTTATAAATAATCTCCAAAACGAAAAAGGAAGCTCAACTTTTATGCCCGAGAGCAATAACGAGGAAAATGTAACTTTATGAAAGAGTAAAAGACATTTTTGGTCCTAGACTTATAGTGACACGGACAATTTAGTCCACCTTAAAAAAATCAGACAATTTGTGGACACTCTTATTGTGACGAGGACAATTTTGGTCCTCCGTCAATATTCCCGTTAGATGCTCCGTTTGAGAGGGGGTAATTGCATCTTTTCAATAACAGACCTCCTTCTTTAGGATCGCCCAGTTCCCTGAACTCTGTACCTAGGAATTGAACTATGGATCTCACCTTGGATTGAGCTCTGGCCTCGGGATATTGAACCATGGATCTCACCCCGGCAAGAGCCTTCTGCAATTTTTCCTCGGTTTGTTTTCTGCCTTCTTTTAGAAAATCAAACTCATCTTCTTGCACGGGTTGGGCTTGAATGCTAGAGGGTCGGTGATTTTTTCTGGTTTAAACCCACGCAGACCACTGCCTTTTCGTCTCCATCGCAAAGTTACCTTCTTCAGTATCCAATAGACCAAATTATCGTTCCATAGTTCTTCATGACTTGATGTCCCCTTACGTGCGCCTTTTTTTCCAATAGGGAAGGCTAAAGGCAAGAAACAACAAGGACACACCAATAGGGAAGGCTAAAGGCAAGAAACAACAAGGAAACAACAATAAAGTTCAAATGCGGCGGGGTCTTCTCGTACGGCGGTGCATCGGAATTCCAGAATACACCAACAGTGTTAACAATATGCACCAACAGTGTAACAAAAACACACCACAATGAAATGCAATAAAACATCACAAAATACACAACAGACCCAAAAAAATACATCATATAACTCACCACCCCCAATGGTGTATTTCAGAACATTGTATGGTGTTTTTACTCACACCTAATGGTGTGTGTTTGGTGATGCGTACCTAATTTGTCTCTATTTTTTGTGGTGTATTTTCCTACGTTGATGGTGTATATTTGTTGAACTATTAATTTCATCATCATCATCATCATCATCATTATTATTATTATTATTATTATTATTATTATTATTATTATTATTATTATTATTATTATTATTATAATATAAAGATTAGTTAACAAGGGCAAAGTTGGAATAATTCAAGGTAATCTAAGATTACCTAAAAAAATAGGGGTAATCACATTACCTTGAAACATTACCGCCACATCAGCTTTCAGGTAATATAACATTACCTGGTAATCTCATGACTTGAACAAAACAAGGTAATATAACATTACCAGACTCAGATGACCTAGGTAATCTAAGATGACCTGAACCAAACATCCCCTTAGGAGATTTAACATCGAAAAATAATTGCTAACATCGCAAACCTTTAAAACATTTTTTCAGAAAAATTTTAAGACTTAATAAAATTAAAAATCCAAAAATCATTAATGTTGAAAAATATAGAAACCAACATTTTCAACTTTAATAAACTGTTATAAAGACATAATTAAAAGCGATTCTTGACTATATTAATGCCATTATTACCGAAAAGAAACATAACGCAAATTGAATGACTAGAAAACGTGTCAAACAACGCATGGTAACAAAAGTAATCAACTCCAACTAACATTACTAATTACCATAACAATAATGGTAAATGCAAATGATTGCAACAATCGCCAAACATCTCAATATATCATCCAAACACGATAATTAGGCACAAAATATAGCAATTTACCTTTTACCATAAATAATGACAATATGCATTAAAGTAAATTTCAGCACAAATTATGATGACAATCTAAAATGAAAAAGATTTTCAAAATAATAATCATGCTCAAATTGATTCATATTAAATTAATAAATAATTACAACCATGTTCCTAATGACATTTGGATAATTGTCCTTAGTTTCACCACTTTTTAAAGTAGATGGACTAAATTTAACATAATAAAGATATAAGGACTAAATTGAACAAAACACTATAGTACAAGGACTTCATAAGTACTTTGACCCATAATTTGCCTACCAAACAAGATAATTAAAATTAAAAAAAAAAAAAAAAGAAAAAAAAAAGAAGGGTTTATGGTAATTCAATTATTGACAATTAGTCCATTGGGCTCTTCATTACCATTTGGATTAAATATCATCCTAATTATTTTACATCAAGATTGATATCCTGTTACGGGTTTATATTAGTGGGCCTAAGTATTGATATGATGGACTAATATATTTGTGACTAAGTATTCAATTTGTCAACGATGTAAAATAATTAGAAATGATATTTATTATTATCTTATCTTAATCAAAATCAAAATCTATAATAAAAACTAATAAGTGTAAATGATGGTTATATCATTCATTTATGTCCGTTTTTTCGTTACATTATTTATACATTATGTTATAAATGTTGTATTATACAATATTTTAGAAAAATATGCCCATACCGTTAAAACTTCTGTTAAATTCTCCACTATTGTTATCGTGCACATGCATCTACCATATATTTTTTTTATCTTCTTTAATAGTAATAATAATAATAATAATAATAATAATAATAATAATAATAATAATAATAATAATAATATACACATTATATATTGGAGTTATATATTAATTATTTTCTAAAATATAAATATCAAATTTATAAAAATATTTTACATTATTATTATTATTATTATTATTATTATTATTAACAATAATACAAATATCTAAAATCTAAATAAATTTAAAATTTTAATATAAAATATTAATATTGGGTACTTATTTTTGTGCATTGCGCATAGAAAATACTAGTTATAAAATAATGAGCTACTAAATTGGATAGGAGTTCTTTAAATTAAGAAAAAAAAAAAAAAAAAAAAACAAAGGATGAAGAAAGTTGCTTGAATTAAGGAGTGAAATACTCCTTTGGCAAACATATATTTTGTCGGTGGGGCATGCATGACGAACCCATATAAATCATGAACATCAAAAGACAACCTTAGAAATATTTCAAGTCAAATTTATCAATACCCAGATTCTTCAAATTCAAAAGGAGAGAAACAAAAAAAAGGTCAAAAGAAAATGTTTGAGTTAATCATAATTTTTACCAAACATCCTGAAATCCTGATTAAGTTCCTCCAACCTAGAAAACATTCACTATTTCACAATCATCGCAATTAGAAGTTAATGCAAAATATGAAATTAGGGGGGAGAAAACAACAAAAAAAATTACAAATCCATAATCCTCCGTTAGTAGTCTTGATGATGACGTCGGCATCACACACAAATCAACGGCTCTTGATCCTTTTGAAGATCACGAGGCGGTGGGTTGTCACCACCGCCACGTCCTGTGCACGTGAGCACTCTGGCCCTCGTGGCTTGGTGCTCCCAGTCGGTGCTCCATACAACATACAACATAAGCCCAGCGCAGCATATTTGGGCCAATAATAAGCCGTGCCAGAGCCCAATAAAGCCCAGCCCAACATAAAAGCCCAGCCCAATAGCCACCGGCATGCCGACGATGTAGAATGCGCCGAGGTTGACATTCGCGGCGGTGGACGGCCGCGCCGACCCTCGTAAAACTCCGCAGCCGATTGTTTGTGGGCAGTTTCCGAGCTCACAAAGGCCTAGTATGGGCAAGGCCGCTGACGTTAGGCGGAGAATGTCGACGTCATGGGTGAAAATACGGGCCCACAAGTTCCTCATGGACGTCGCGAAAGTCATCGCCGATAGGCCTATTAGGGTTGCCAAGAATATGGAGAGGAAAGCCGATAGGCGAGCCTTGTCGGGTCGGTTGGCCCCGAGCTCATTACCGACCCGCGTGGAAACCGCGAACCCGAGCGATGACGGGAAGATATAGAGCAGTGACGTAGTCTGAATCAAGACCCCCATGGATGCCACGGTGGCCGTGGGGTCCACCAGTAGCCCACACAACACTATCATGATCTCGTACCACCACCACTCCAGACACACTGAAACACAGCTGGGCGCGGCGAGGCGAACCAGCGGGGCCCACCCGGTAAAGCACTCCCAGCTCGGCCGCACGTGGAGTCGCCGAGCCCAGACGTAAACACCCAGCGCCGCCAGCGCCACCGCGTTGGAGGTGGCGGAGGCGGTGGCCACCCCCGCCACCCCTAACCGGAGCCGGAAAACGAAAAAATAGTTCGCCAATAAATGGAAAACAGTCCCCGTCAAAGTAGCAAACATGATTGGAAGAGTAATACCTTGAGCCCGAAGGTAAATCCGGATGGGGTGAAAAAACGAATTAGTGAGAAGATCAGGGAGCGAAAACAAAAGATAAGTGTGAGCAAAATGGGTAATGTTTGGGTCTTGGTGCAAATAAAGCAAGATATTAGAAATATTAAGCCAAAGAAATATAATGGGCACACAACAGCAAAGCAAAAAAAGAATGGATCTTTGAAGGGTCAAAGAGAGAAGATGAGGGAGTTGAGCACCAAAAGCCTGGGAACAAAGCGGCTCCATCCCCAAAGCCAACCCAGAAAGCACAGAATACCCAGTAATATTCGCAAACGCGATAGCCAACGAGCCCGCCGCCAGCTCCGTATCGCCAAGCCAGCCCAGAAAAACCATGGAAACCATGGAGCGAATGTACAGAACCAAAGCCGCCAGGGCGATGGGGAAAGCAAGATTCAACAGAGACTTTAATTCCTCAGTAACTTCACTCTTCGCCACTGATTCTTGATTTGGTTTGGGGTTTTCTTGGGGTTTAAGAGCGGTGGGTAAACACCACAGATGGCTTTGTGGTTTGAGATCATTCACACAGATGGCGGTGAGCTTTGGAGGGGGAGTAGTGGTGTTTGGATTGCACATATTATTATTATGTATATATGTGAATTGAACCAAAATGGATCGGAGATAGAATATATATATATAAAATAATGGAAATGTAAGTTTTGATTAGAGTGGCAAATTCCTTCTTCTGCTGGGAGATACTCTCATTAAGAGCACTCTGATCTGCTGAAATAATGGATTGGCTGGTCTGGTTGTGGTTGGTTATAGAGAGTGTGAGAAAGGGCCGGGAGATGCTATATTTATTAATACCAAGGGATACGATGAGGGTTTTCTTTATAAATCTTTTTATTTATTTTAATAATTCTTTAGGCTTTCATTAGATTCAGACCATTTTTTAACCCTGGAATAACATCATAAAAAATCTCACAACATCTTCTTATAATTTAATTAAAGTTATCTCATAATTTTCATTGCAGTTTGTATTTAATGTATAAAAGCATTATATTTTTCGTTACTAACGCTTATTACTACGTCAAAAGTTATACCTAGTAGCGAATGCGCAACTTTATTTCCTTATATACCGCCACACATTTTCGATACGTTGAGTGCTGGACTTTGCCTTTAGGCCTCCGCCCAACACTCTCTTTCCCAACACCAACTAGCTGATACCACTTTTTAGGATCAAACGCTTACCACTATGTCAAAAGTTATACCTAGTAGCGAAAACGCAACTTTATTTCCTTATAC